GGGGTCCGGCGGGGGTGGGGGCAAGCCCTGCAGCGGCCAGCGCGCTCTCGGCGTGTGCTGAGCCGCCTCCTGCTCGCTTGGCCCCGCTCGGTCCAGGGACGGTGCCTCGGGGGTTGGCAGCGATGCCTTCAGCGGGCTGGATGGGAAGCACACGCTTTGCCCGTGCGGTCATGCGGGGATGAGGCACGGAGGACACGGGAGGGCGGATGCGCTCGGGAGGAGCTGGCTGAGAGCCTGGTGCTCTGCCTGCGCAGAGAGCTCTGCCTTCGAGATCCTCTCCGCTTGGCCGGCAGGCTCGGTGACAGTCACCGGCAGCCCCAGGTAGCTGCACCAGGGTTCCTCTTCCCCGTGCGTCCGTCGCCAGGTCACCCCTCCTGTTGCTTCCCGACCCTTCCCAGCACTGGCGAGACCGGCAGAGACCTGCGTTCGTCATTGCATACAGATCCAGGGACGAAAGGTCCTGCGGGATCTGGTGTCAACGATCCCAAAGTTCGCCCTGTTTCCTAAGAGGGACCCCAGTTCCTTGGCATAAGCAGTTGGACGGCCTTTCTGGTGCCGGAGCATCAGCAGAAAAATTGTTTTTATATCCAGATTTTGCTGTTCCAATTCCCCCTTCTAGTTCCTTGCAGAATGTGCTTTGCCTCCTCTCCAGCCTGTCTTCCGCACAGTCTGCCTGGCTCGAAGCCTCCTACCCCGCTTTGCTGTGGGGTTTCTGTGGTTCAGAAACTGTCAGGGCTGGGGGAAATCACTGTTTGTAAAACATCACAAGCTGTTACGGTGTCGCTTGTCGTAATTCTGGACCTGGTCCCACACAGACAGTCTTGGCAAACCTACTCAGCTCAGTCCCTGGGTTAGAGGTGGAGACTTTTTACTTGCTAAAGGCAAGTTGCTCTGAGGGTGTTAAAGCAAGTACTGAGTAAAAATGCTCGCGGTCTCTCTCCAGGTCTCGTCAAAGCAGAGGACAAGGCGAAAGCCCATCGAGCCAAGAAGCTGGAGGGGAACACCAACACAGAGGAGCTGAAAAAGAAACCTCCAGGAGCCGGCGTGAAGAAGGAAGCGGCTGTGCATCTGCCGGCAGGTGAGGCTGGTCCAGGCAGGGCCCAGGCAGCGGCTCTGTGTGCAGCTTCGCTGCGTAGCAGCTCAGTCACAGAATCACAGAATCCCAGCATGGCAGGGGGTGGCAGGGACC